AGTTACATTCTGTGTATTTTAAGAAATAAGTAGTCAGTCAATAACTTGGAGAAGGGAGCAATTAAAAAAAAAAAAGAAATAGGTGGTCAATTACTTTCAAGAAAAAACTTAAGATATGCATTTATTGAGAAAAAAGTATTGAGATATAAATCACATACCATAAAACTCAGCCTTTTAAAGCATACAACTCATTAAATTTTTAGTGCATTCAGAGTTATGCAGCTATCACTACTATCTAATTTTAGAACATTTTCATCACTCCAGAAAGAAACCCTGTTAGCAGTCACCCCCTATACCTCCCTCCCCGTGACAATCTTTCTATGGACTTTGCCTGCTTGTACATTTAATATAAATGGAATCATGTAAGGTATAGGACAGCCATATACGCCTAAGGACGTTTCAGTCAACAACAGACCACATGTGGGATGGTGGGTGCACATGATGACCATTTCTGTGTTTAGAGACACAAGTACAGTGTTACAGTTGCCTACGGTACTCAGTACGGTCACATGCCGTGCAGGTATGTAGCCAGGAGCAACAGGCTATCCCACACAGCCTAGGTGTGTAACAGATTGTACCATCTAGGTTTGTGTAAACGCACCCCATGATGTCGGTGCAGTGACTAAATCACCTACTGATGCCCACTTCTCAGAAGATACTCCTTTCATTGAGCAATATATGACTGTTTACTTCAGTCCTTTCTGTGGCTGAATAACATTCCATTGTATGAGTGGACCACATTATTTGTTCGTCAATTGTTGGACATTGGGTTATCAGAATTACTTTTGAGTAATATTGATGCTTAAGGAAGTGTCAGCATGTTTGTGCCATGGCCTCCCCCTTAGATAAGGAGCGATATGGTTCAGGCTGACCAGCACAGGGCCAGTTCCTGTGTGTAACACCCTACTGGGAGCCAGGCCTTCAGGTGGCTTTACTTCTTAGCTGCAGTTTGAAACTGCTTTCTACCCATGTCCCTCAAAGTGTTTTTAATAGATTTATTTTCCCTTCACAGCTATTTGCATGCAAAGAACATCATCCACAGAGACATGAAATCCAACAGTATCCTTTGGTTGTTGAGTTTATTTTGACTGCTCAGTTCTAAATTTAGGGAAACATAAAGGGAGCCTTTTTATCACAAGTGGCTCTTGGTGCCAGGGGGATATCTTGGTGTCTTTTTAGGGAAAGAGGCAGAGGAGGGGAAGAAGCAAAAGTCACAAAGTTAGTTCTTTAAGAAACAAAATTTTGGCTGGGGCGCCATGGCTCACACCTGTACTCCTAGCACTTTGGGAGGCCAAGGTGGGAGCATTGCTTGAGCTCAGGAGCTGGAGACCCCATTCCTACAAAAAAATAGAAAAATTAACCAGGAATTGTGGTACATGCCTGTAGTTCCAGCTACTTGGGAGACTGAGGCAGGAGGATTGCCTGAGTCCAGGACTTTGAGGTTGCAGTGAGCTCTGATCCGGCCACTGCACTCTATCTGGAGTGACAGAGGAAGAATGTCTCAAAATGAATGAATGAATAAATAAATAAATAGTCTACGGTATGCCCTAGGACTGGCATGCCCTTCCACAACTTTTGGTTAACCCGCACTGTGGTGAGTGCTGTCTAGGGAAGGTCTTTCTAAGGTTATATTAGCAAAAGTGATTTGAAAACATTCCCACCAGAATTGAGATACATGTTTGGGCATGTACTGTTTATTACTCAGTTTAACTTGGGGGGGGATTGGGCTTTTGTCTTTTATGTTTATTTCTAGTTTATGGACTGTGTGTGTGTATCTGGTCAGAAAGTAGGTATAAGCCAAATGTTGCAAGATCTCCAAAATCACTACTTTAAAAAAAAATCACGTTTTCTTGAATGTCCACAAGTGGTTTTCTTAGAGGTCACCATTGGAAACAGTCCCTCCCCATTTCTAAGACTTAATTTATTTTTGTAGAAGGGAGAATGAAGGAAGGTGTTTTTCACGCTGAAAGGCACGGGATTTAACAAGTTTTGAATCTGCCACCTTCCCCTACAGCTGAACTTTGTTTCTTGGCTAGAGAGCGGCATGAGGTGTTGAGTTGGATTTTAGGACATAACCTGTTTTGGGTACAAGTCTAAGACATAGAATACCTTTCACTGGTAGAGTTTTTGGGCAGCCAAACGTTGTATCATGAAAACAGATACCACAGATCTAAGGAGGTGTGAATTCCTGGGCACCAGCAGGTCACAGGTTGGACTTAAACTGCCCAACTGCTTTACCCAGAAGCAAGCTGACTTTGGTTCTCAGTTTGAAGTCACCAAGTGGCACCAATGCTAGTGAGAAATTTCTTATGACAACATTTAGCTCTCAGGAAGGGATTTGCTATTTTGTTAGCCACTTGTGTCTGTTGCTTATTTGAGGGGCACACAGGCAGAAACAACTGTAAGTCATCAGCAGGCCTGCTCAGCCCTCTGGGGAGCACCTGAGGCAGCCTCTGCTTGCCTTAGGGTTTCAGGCACCTCTGTTACATGGGAAGGTCACAAGGCCAGGGACCTGGCACCTACATGTGGAAATGGGGAAAAGAAGCAGATAGAGAACTTTGGCTTGTTTTTGGCTGGGGCCAAATCTGGCACACTGGGCAATCCCTGTCTGCTTCCTGAAAGAAGGGTTGTTTCAAAAGCTTCAGAAACTACAGCAAATGCAGCACAGAGAGGGCGGGGACAGAAGGGAAGTGGAGAAAGTAGTGTTAGACCGACCTCTGGGAAGTTTTTCAAAACTAACTTGATTTAGCAAAATCATTGCTCAAAAAAACAAACAAACAAAACTAACTTGACCGTTCTTTTGAAACCAGAGTCCTTAACAAGCATTGAGATATATTTCTCCATGAAGGCCTAACTGTGAAAATCGGAGACTTTGGTTTGGCAACAGTCAAGTCACGCTGGAGTGGTTCTCAGCAGGTTGAACAGCCCACTGGCTCTGTCCTGTGGATGGTGAGGAACCGGGCTCCCACTGGCAGTGGTCAGGTACAGGGCGAAAAGGAATGCCCTGGAGCTCTGTGTGCAAGCTTAAAGCATTCCTGTTTGTTTCCCCAGTGTCCAGATGACCCCCAGTGTCAGCTAGCCTGGGGTAAATGGTGACAGAGCCATTCTGAAGTGGATAGGAGTTAGCAAGCTAGGTGATGGAAGTGTGGGGTCCTGGTCAGACAGGATTCCTGAGCTGGTTGCAGCCAGTGCCTGAGAGTCAGAGTCCTCTGTAGAGGAGGAATGGACTCTTTCAAAACTGATCAGACAACCTGGTTTCTGGATCTCTATTGGGCCCGTCACAGCTAAATGCACTTTGTCCCTGTAGGCCCCAGAGGTGATCCGAATGCAGGATAACAACCCATTCAGCTTCCAGTCTGATGTCTACTCCTATGGTATCGTGTTGTATGAGCTGATGACGGGGGAGCTGCCTTACTCCCACATCAACAACCGCGATCAGGTGAGTCTGCCTGGTGCCTAAGACCTAAGTTGTGGGAATCCCTGGGCTTCCTGCCAACCTCAGCAGCAAAAGCGCCTATTGATCCATTTGCTCAGCCATTTTCTTTCCCTTAGATTATCTTCATGGTGGGCCGAGGGTATGCCTCCCCAGATCTCAGTAAGTTATACAAGAATTGCCCCAAAGCAATGAAGAGGCTGGTAGCTGACTGTGTGAAGAAAGTTAAGGAAGAGAGGCCTCTTTTTCCCCAGGTAAGTCTTACTCAGGGGTGCTGGAACTGGATTAAAGCAAGAGTTCTCGATAGCAATAAGGGGGAGGTGTTTCGTTTTATAGGGAGGGACCCGTGTCCTCCAATAGATGGGGAGCTGATACAGCCTGTGTCTTTGGACTCCTGGTTGAAAGCTGCTGCTGAGGAAGCACCAACCCCCAGCTAATAAGACCGTCCTGGGCCTTGTTTTAGATCCTGTCTTCCATTGAGCTGCTCCAACACTCTCTGCCGAAGATCAACCGGAGCGCTTCTGAGCCCTCCCTGCACCGGGCGGCCCACACTGAGGATATCAATGCTTGCACGCTGACCACGTCCCCGAGACTGCCTGTCTTCTAGTCGACTCTGCACCTGCATTCAGGCTGCCAGGGGAGGAAGGGAAGTCAGCAGGCACTACTTTTCTGCCCTTTCTGTGAGGGCGGAGCATGTTTTCAGAGAAGCTGCTGCTAAGACCTTCTAGACTGCTCACAGGGCCTTAATTTCATGTTGCCTTCTTTTCCACCCCTTTCGGCCCTGGGAGGGGGAAGCCATTTGAGATGCTGGTCTGTCCTGCTCCCTCCCCTCAGGGCCCAACCTCCAGATGTACATGTGGATGCTGATGGCAATACAAAAGCTGGGGCCTCAGCTGCTGGCTAATTGAGTACTTTTAAGGGGAGGTAAAGGTAGCAGGCAGTCCAGCCCTGATGTGGGATTCGTGGGACTTTGGAAAGCAGCTTCTGGAGGAATCTGTATCATGTGTCACAGGAGGGACTTTCTTCAGAGATAGTGGTGCAGCACCAGACATTTTGCACATAATGCACCAAGCAGCCCAGGACTGCTGATTCCGGCCGCCTGAAGGAACCTGCTTTGGTACTATGGAACTTGGGGACACGTCGTCCTTTCACAGCCTCTGAGGTGTCCAGTGCATTGGGATGGTTTTCCAGGTGAGGCTCTTGGCCTGCCCTCCCCGTCTCGGCCCTCTCAGGGAGCAGTCTTCCATCATGCTGAATTTTGTCTTCCAGGAGCTGCCCCTGGGGGGGGGGGTTGCGCAGGGCCAGCCTTGTTTCTCTAGTCACCATGCGGATGCGAGGAAGCCAGGAGCACAGGTTTTCTTGATGATTTGGGTTTTAATTGTTTTTATTGCGCCTGACAAAATATAGTTATCTGACGGTCCCTCAATTATGCTATTTTAATAAAATAAATTAAATTTAGGTCTAATGCTGTTACCTCTTTTTCAAGTAATACTGAGCTCACAGTTTCAACCCTCCCTCTGTTCATACCCTTGAGCAGAAGTCAAGAAGCAGAAAATGGGCCCAGAGCCTCAACTGGGAATGCATTTTATTTAGCTTTTGTCTGTTATTTATAACCCTTTACTGAAGAGTTAACTAAAAAAATTAATGCATTTTATAAAATATTTGGTATTATCTGGTACAGTTTTTCTTTTTTACAAAAATAGATAAATTCAGGCTTGGAATGAGTTTGTTCTGGTTCACAAGGTTGTACTTGCCTTCAGTCTTAATGGATCAAAAACCTCCCTAGGCGCTGTGAAATTTTTACAGAATTCCTAATTGAAGCCCGGTTTTACAGATAAGAATAGATGGCTTGAGCATGAAGCACACATGTGTTCTGAGCACTCAAAACAAACACCCTGATGGGCATGAGCCCATGGGTGAGAGCAGGGCCACCTCTGCTCCAGGCCCCTGCACCAACCAGAAGGGAGGACTGGACTACTACATCCCCACCCAGTACTTCTCCTTAACTTCAAGAACCTCCCTAACAGGGAAAAGGATTTACACTTTTACTTTGCTGCAAATATGGCAACAAGACTACTCAGAAGAATGACTATCCTTAAAGCCAACAATAACATTTTATGCCACAGCTGTGCGGGGCTTACTTGAACATTGTATTTTTGGGAAGCTCTGTACAAATAAAAAAAATTTTTTCCCCAAGCCCTCTAACAAATCAAAATTTTGACCACACACTATTTAAATACACATAGAGAAATTCACCATAGAGGAATCCTTTTATAGGGTTAAAGATCCTTTGGTAAGAAAAAGCTGCTGCTTACTAAGGGCAGGGAGAAAAAGATCAAAAAGGACAAGGGCCAGGTTTTCTAGAAGCAATCACTCAACAGTCTGAATGGTTAGCTGGTCCCCCTGAGGGGCTTGAAGTGTAACTAAGTATAACTATAAAAATAGCAATTCCATACACTTATTAGGTTATTTTATATCCTTCACTCTTCCCATGCCTGTAATAACGGAGAGAGGATGAGCCGGAGGCTAAGTGTACCCCACTCAAAGCCACGCCACACGCCACTCCAGCTGCAGCACAGGGAAGCTCAACACCTGGCTGGGGAAAGTTTTGGCCGGCAGAGCCCAAGACGCAGGGGTGACCATTTACTCTTTAGGGTTCTGATGACTCCACTCCAGAAAGGTGCATGAAGAGGTCGCCAAGTTCTGTCATGTCAACATCTTCCGTGTTGGGGACATGCCGGCTTTCTCGGTTCTCAATGAAATCCCAGAGCCGCACTGAATTAAAGAACTGCAAAACAGCCAGCAAACATGCCAGGTTACTGCTGAGACAACCTGAAAGCTGTGTAGTTTAACTTCTTTTGTCTACCCCATTTCTCTGTTGCCAGAGATATTAGAGAAGGGGCCAGGAACACTGCCTGGAAATGCCCACTGCTCAGTGTCGCCGACTGGAGATAGCAAAGCTCTTACCCTCACGGAACCTTCAGAATCAAGTTGTTTCCGGGGCTTCTCAGGCTCCGCTAGCCGCCCGTCAGGGTAAGCATGGCGATAAAGGCATTTGCTTCCAAATGGGCAGGTCCCCTTGCCTTGCTCAAAGTATTTACAAGCTTTTTTCCTGAAAAGCAGAAAGAAAACGTCAAGAGCTGGTTGGGAGACTGTGGGGTCGAGATGGGCCACAGTTCTCACCTTCGTTTTCACCTGTGATGCCAGAGGGAGGTCAGCCTCATGTTCTAGGTGGCCAAACAGAGGTGCAGAGAGGTTAAGTGATTTGTGTGAGGTCGCACACAGCTGGGATTCTGATTTCCAAGCCAGATAATATCCCCACTGATGTGCAGCCTCACGCAGGCTGTGAACCTGCCGGGGACTCGTAGTGTGTGGAGCCTGCAGGCCTTCAGGAGCCCCTGCACCTCCCAGCGTGGCAGGCAGAGGCTAAGCCAGGCACCTGGTCACTCCTCTGGGTGCCAAGGTCTGACACTGGGCTACTTGTTTCCACTCAGTTCCCAAGGCGCTCCACCCAGGCAAGTTTCCCTTCCTCCTGGCCAGCAGTGCTGTAAAGGTGACTCCAGGATGCTGGGACTTCAGAGTCACAGGGAAAGCAGTGGATTTTAGCAGCTGCCTAAAGCTACGGTCTCATTCCAATTTTCCTTTGTCCCCACTCTGGAGTAGGGCTTCTTAACTCTTCATGTGCTCTGGGCCTCAGAACAGTGTTTCTGAATGTATTAAATAGATAGGGAAAAAATTTTGAGCTTTCTGATAACTGTATTTTGTAGACCTATCTCTGAATCCTACCCACAGACCCCTATGTTAAGAACTCTGCTCCTGAGGAAACTCACAATCAAAGAATTCCCATTTCTTCTTGCTCGAATGAAATTTGGCTCATCCAGAAGAAATGCCCAAGAAACCAGAGGGCCATCTGGGAGCACCAAGGAAGGGGAAGTTGTGGAAATAAGGACAGCACAGCAGGCACGCGGGCCGCTGCCAAGGCAGCTGGGGTGTGTGCAGGCGACAAGGGGGCAGGGGGACTCCCCAACTCCAGTAGCGTTCTGTCTTCTCATACAAGGGGATGGCTAGAGGCCAGTGGCACAGTTCTGAGACAGACTTCAGGACAGGATAAAGAAAAGCTCCCTGGTGGCTGGGGAGTGGCTTCCAGCAGAGCAGGTGTGTAGACTGACATCTTCCCACCCATCTGCCTGAGGTTCAGCAGACCTCAAATGACCACTTCAAGATTTCTACACCAGAGTCTACTGGACGACAACTCTAGGGCATCCCAGGGTACTTGCTTTAGTAAGCTCATCAGGCTAAAAAAAATCATTCTCTGGCCCCCTACGATAACCATTCTTTTTCTTCCCCCAGCTATAGCTGGTCACTAAGGCCAAAAGCCTACCGTTTACTGACTCCCTCTTTGTTAGTTCTCACACTCAACTGGGTTACTTGTTCACAAATCGCTTCCAAATCTACCTGTCCTTTTGGCTCCCACACTGTCAGGGACATCGGGGCACCATCCTCTGCTGATGCCTGCCACGGTCATTTCCCTACTGGTCTTCCCACGCCCACCACTTTCCAACCCTGTCACAGCACCACAGAGGAAGCTTCTTAACCTGTTCTTAAAGACCACGGTCACACTGGGATTCAGGGCCCCTCAGATTCCAGTCTATCTTTGTCCCTGTAAGTCCTGCCACACCCTTCACACACCTGTTTCAACTCCAGGAACTGCTCCCACTGCCCCTGACACAAACCCTTCTGTGCTCATGTCTTTCCATCCCCTCCCACTGTGGAGAGGCTCCTCCCCTGCTTCATGGCTCAGGGTCCCTGTACTGCTACCTTGACACCCCCAGGTGCATCCAAGTGCTTTCTCTGTTGTGACATATGGCTTGGGCCACATGAAGAATGGGTCACCTGAAGACCTGTATCATAACTGCCCTTTTGCAATTTCCCATGAAATTATCTTAACAATCTCTAGACTACACCCCTCAGTGGTGCTTAGCTCAAAAGTACCTGGTCCACTCAGTAAATGTTTGTGGAATGCTCACAGTCCTCACAGGAAAGCAAAGCCAGGAAAGACCCAAGCAGCAATAACAGAGTTTTCAGACCACTCTTCAGCAGAGCACTTTTCTGCAAGCTGGGAGCTCTTTGCCTTGCCACACCTGCCCTCTTGTGGACACACAGTAAAATTGCATAAAGAAAAAACAGTAAAATGGGAAAATATCAAACCTTAGTATATGCAAGATAAAGGAACCATTAAAAAGGTAATATTTACTTCCGCTTTCAGTATGGTCAAGTAGACTTCTATCAGACCCAATCCTCCTATGGATAACTATAAACACAAATATTTCAAAAAGATCTGAAGGCACTGGAGAATGAACAAGAGCAGGAAGATTCTTTCGGGGAGTAAACACAAGGAAGAATAGAATGGCAAGGGATGAGATACCTTTTATTAAAAAAAAGATATTAATAGCTACTAGCCTAGAGCAGGCCAAAGTCAGCGCCATGCAGGGTAGCTAAGAATGATATAGGAAATCCAATCTTTCTGGTATGATGAACCGAAAAACAAGAGTTTGAGGAAATCACAGCCACTGGGAAGTGAGGAAGCAATTCCACGAAAAGGAGCCTGAGAAGTACTCAAAGACTATATAAACTCTGTTCAAACCTCTGACTCACCCCTGAACTACACGTAAATGCTGCAGGCTCAAAGCAACTCAGGTAAGAATATAAAAGTGAACTGAGATTTGAATTGCTGCCCAAGTTTCAGTTCAAACAATTTACCTGCGTGTTAAACACATCACTACTTTACAGATGAAATCTAACAGAATCCAGAATCTCTACAATGTGACATTTATAATGTCAAGGATAAAATCTAAAATTACTAGACATCTGAAGATTCAGGAAAATGTAACCCATTCTTAAAAGATAACAGAGACCTTCAAGACAGCAAGGATTTCAAAGCAGCTATTACAACTATATTCAAGAAGACAAACAGAAAAGGAAAAAATGTTGAAAAAAATGAACAGAGCTGTAGAGACCCAAGGGAAATAACAAAAAAGTCTATCACAGGGCCGGGTGTGGTGGCTCATGCCTCTAATCCTAACACTCTGGGAAGCTGAGGCAGGAGGGCTCGCTTGAGGCCAGGAATTCAAGACTAGCCTAGGCAATAGTGAGACCCCCATCTCTACAAAAAAGAAGGAAGGAAAGAAATGAAAGAAAGAAGGAAAGGAAAAGAAAAAGGAAAGGAAAGGAAGAAAGAAAGAAAAAGTCTATCCTGTGGGATTAGAATCCCAGGAGGAAAAGAAAAAACAGTAGAAAAAAAAATTGATGAAACAATGGCCAAAATTTCCCTAAATTTGGTGAATGACATAAATTTAGAGATTCAAAGAATACTGAACAGTATTATATAAAGAAAATCACTTCAAAGCAAAATGTCAAAATGCTGAAAACCAAGATAAAGAGAAAATCTTGAAAGCAGCTTGAGAAAACGACACATTACAACCGGATTTACCACAGACTTCTCATCAGACACTACGGTGGCCAGATTATTGTTAAAGGGCATTTGCAAAGAGCTGAAAGAAGGGGAAAAAACCCTGCTAACTCAGAATTCTACTCACTGAGAGAAAGGCAAAGGTGGAAATAGGAAGACCAATTAGACTAATATATTCAATGAAAATATCCTTCAAGAATTGGAAAAAAGCCATTTCTGATAAAAAGAAAATTAAGTGCAGTAGAAATAGTAAATATAAAAAACTTTTCCTCTTATTAAGGCAAAAATACATTATTACCTTGTGGGTTTTATAATGTATGTAAATATAAAACATATGTATTATATCTATAGTACAAAAGATGGTAATGAAGGACATTATATAAGGTGATAGTAATATTGTGATCCCTAGAAAAACCATTTTTTAAGAAACAGGTAGGGTTAAAAAGCTGCAGTTAAAATGGAATTCTAAAAAATATTCAGCCAAAATTTGGAAAAAGCACAGCTATTCATCAATAGGAAAATGGATAAACTGTAGTAAATAGACAGCGTTTACTTTGCATGGTTCTCATATGCATAATTTCATTTGCAGTGGCTCAAATAGTGCCCCCCATCCCCAAAATAGGTCCAAATCCTAAACCCTGGTACCTCGGAATGAGACCTAATTTGAAAAAATGGTCTTTGCAGATATATTGAAGTTAACGAACTGGGGATGAGATCATCTGGATAACCAGTGGGCCCTAAATCCAACAGTAACCTGTCCTATGAGACCCGAGGTGGGGCGGGACACAGGGGGCCATGTGAAGGCAGAGGCAGAGACTGCAGCGAGGTTGCCACAGTGGCCACCAGAAGCTGAGAGAGGCACGGAACATTTCCCTCAGATGGTCCAGGAGCCAACCCTACCCATCCCATGATTTGGGACTGCTAACCCCCAGAACCGTTGAGTATACATTTCTGTTGTTTTGAGACACCCAGTTCATGGTAATTTGTCACAGCAGCCCTCAGAAACAAACACACCATTGTTTAGTTACCAAAACTTGTCCTCCAACAACATAGTTCAAATTTTGATGACCACAATACATCAATCGTAACTGCATGAAGTACGAGCTGTGCTGTCAGCTCTTCACTCCAAACTACCTAAAGGAATGCGCGTCATGATCGTGACCAACCACATAATGTTCTTCCAAAGCTGTCAGCGACTGGTCACTGCGCACCTGCTATTCATTCACACATGGATGACAGAGCGGAGAGCTGTGCTGCCTGTTTGCCAGTGATAAACCCACAAGACGTTTTACAAAACTAGACAATTGAAAGAGCCAATTGGCTAATAAAGATAAAAGTGCATTTCCAAGTCTTTTCCCTTGGGGGGAAAAAGATGAAAGTGCAGGAAGGAAATGTCAGATGTAAACACTGGAGGCGAAAGTCGAATGCCCCCTCTTCTCTCACACCCGCACCGCAACACACCCGGCGGCAACTCTTCAAACAGACCCAGAACCGGACTCGTCCTCACCGTCTCCGCTCCTCCTGCCCTGGTCCAAGCCACTGTCACAGCTCCCTGGGTCACTGCAATGGCCAAACCCATCTCCCTGTTTCAACCTTGGCCTCTTTCAATATATTCAACAGACCAGCCAGAGTGATCCTTTTAGCATAACAGTCAGAACCTGTCACTCCTCTAATCAAAACCCTATGATGGGCCAGGCGCGGTGGCTCACACCTGTAATCCTAGCACTCTGGGAGGCCTAGGCGGGCGGACTGCTTGAGCTCAGGAGTTTGAGACCAGCCTGAGAAACAGCGAGACCCCGTGTCTACTATAAATAGAAAGAAATTAGCCAAACAACTAAAAATAGAAAAAAAATTAGCCGGGAATCGTGGTGTGTGCCTGTAGCCCCAGCTACCTGGGAGGCTGAGACAGGAGAATGGCTTGAGCCCAGGAGTTTGAGGTTGCTATGAGTTAGTCTGACGCCATGGCACTCTAGCCCAGGCAAGAGAGTGAGACTCTGTCTCCAAAAAAAAAACCCTATGATGGGCCAGGCATAGTGGCTCATGCCTGTAATCCTAGCACTCTGGAAGGCTGAGGTGGGAAGATCCCTTGAGGTTAGGAGTTTGAGACCAGCCTGAACGCAAGAGCAAGATCCTGTCTCTACTAAAAATAGAAAAAATTAGCCAGGCATGGTAGCACTGTTATATTCCAGATTCACAAGGCCGCAGGACAGAGAGACAGAGTCACCGAGGCTGTAATTATCAAAAGGAGTTTTATTGTCTAGCTCAAGCTAGGGTCCGAGCCCCCAGAGTGCCAGCGCAGTGGCCTCTTCTCCGGGCAGGGACTCTCCTTTGTGTGTTAGTCCCCTTTTTATAACTTAATTATTTACACACTGGTCATGCATCCACCCCTACAGTGATTCTTACTTCATCCTGCCCCTAATAAGCCCTAACCTGTTCCGGGTCCTAGCTGGGAGACTCAGGTTTCTGCACTTTGTCTTTTTCCTCTACATCCCATAATATACTCATAATGCCTTGCGGTTAGCAAACAAGCAGTAAACAGAAGCTGGAAGGTGTCTATTGTCCTTATAGCCCAGTATCTTACAGCACGGGCTTGTAGGTCCAGCTATTCAGGGGACTGAGGCAGGAGGATCACTTGAGCCCAGGAGTGTGAAGCTGCAGTGAGCTATGATGATGCTACTGCACGATTGCCTGGACAATCCAGCAAGACCCCGTCTCAAAAAAACAACAAAAATCCCACCACCAAAAAAACCGTATGATAGTTTCTCACCTCACTCACACTGAGAAGCCTCATCCCCTAGTGACCTACAAAGCTTTACATAGCAGCCCCCATCCCACCCACCTCTCCAACTCACCCTTTCCCCCAGCTATTCCTTGCCACGCTGCCAACAAGCCAGACATGCTCCTGCCTTGCTGTCTTTGCAGTGACTGTTCCCTCCAGCTGGAAGGTCCCTCTTACTCCCATCAGTACAGCTTGCTGCCTCACCTGCTCTAGGTCTCTCCTCAAAGGCCATCCACAGAGGAATTCTGGGCTCATCCCCAGCTCCCAGCTTCACCTCTCTCCTGAGCCCTGATCAACATCTCATATATGTGTCCTTATTTACCTTCTTTGTCCTTCCTAAGTTATTTTCCTTTACTAGGATGTGTGCTACGTGAGGGCTGGGACTTTGGTCTGCGTGCCCCAGTGCTGCATCCCAGCGCTGGGAAAGGCCTATTGCATAGGAGAGTCTCGACAGATATCTGTTGACTGAACAGGTCAACGAGCTGACCCTAGCCAGAAACCAGGGTTCCTAGGAAATACTGCTCAGCTTAGGAACTGAACAAGTCTTGTCACCATGTCCTTGCTCATCTCTGCATCCCAGAGCCCAGGATGGTGCCTGAGAGAAGGAATAGGCTTCAAGTGGCCTCAGGCTTCCAAGACCACATTCCTGGGAGGGAAAGGGAGACGAGAAGGTGAGACCACAGACACACAGCAGAGCTAGGCAGAACCAGCACCAGGCAAGTGTCTGGACTCAAAGCACTTACCCCATCCCCTGTTTGAAGGCTTCAATCAATTCGTTCTTTTTATTCTGATCTTCCACCCAATACACACTTGGAATCACAAACTCTGATATCACACGGCATTCTGGACAAGCCCTGAAATAAGAATCAGGTTAGTGAGGCACAGATCATGTTATGAATCCTGTGTACAATTGCAACTCCACTGCTAAACCCCGTGCTCAAGTGCATGAACATGACCGGCATTTCCCTAACCAGAAATTCCAAAAGATGCCATCACAATTATCTGAGAACCTTATTTACTACTAAACACAGAGTTTTCTCAACAACAAAAAGGCAGATAACCCAATTTAAAAATGAGCAAAGATTTGAGTAGGCATTTCCCTAAAATGGCCAATAAGCACTTAATACAATGCTCAGTATCATTAGTTCATCAGGGAAATGCAAATCAAGACCACAGTAAGATACCACTGCACACCCACGAGGATGGCTAAAATCACAAATAAAGACAAAACAAATGTTAGCGAGGACATGGGGAAATCGGAACCCTCGTACACTGCTGGTAAGAATGCAAAATAATGCAGCCAGTTTGGAAAACAGCCCAATGTCTCCTCAGTTAAATGTGGAGTTACCATAAAAGCCAGCAATCCCACTCCTTGGTGTGCACCCAAGAGAAATAAAAACATATGTCCACCCAAAATCTTGTACATTAATATTCACAGCAGCATTATTCATAATAGCTAAAAAGTGGACACAACCCAAACGTCCACCAGCTGATCCTTTTGATGAAAGGATCAAAATACTGTGGTCTGCCTGCGCAGGGGAGCGTCACTCGGCCGCGAGAAAGGAATGCAGCACTGGCACAGCCGCAGCACAGACGGAGCCTGAAGACATCAGGCTAAGCGAAAGCAAACAAAAGGCCGCATATTCTATGATTCCATTTCTATGGTATATCCAGAATAGGCAAATCTGTGGAGACAGAAGCTAGATTAAATTTGTGATGTACTAAATTGTGCACTTTTCTCTCAACGAAGCTGTTGGTTATTTTACCACACGAATGTGCGACTTTAGCAGGTTACCCTTCTCCGTGCCCTAGTTCCTTATCTATAAAATGAGTGAGGAGAGAGGAAGGGGGAGGGGGGAGGAGGGAGACGCAGGGGCAGGGGAGGGCAGGGGAGGGAGGAAGCTAGACAACGGGGAAGCGCAACGTGGGTCCCTCAAACTTGGTGGCAGAGTGACAGGACCTAGGGATTTGCGGTGGGGCTGCCGCCACTGGACCAAGCGCGCGACCTCGGCCTGAGGAAACCCTTTTCCAAGGAGAAATGAATAAGAAAACTGTATATACCCTAAACATGGGAGATAAGGAGTGTGAAGATATGGAAGGAGAAGAACACAGAGGTGATGCTGCTACCACTGGTCTGTTGTACAGTGAAGCTGACAGATGTCCCATATGTCTTAACTGCCTATTAGAGAAGGAAGGTGGTTTTCCAGAAAATTGTAATCAAGTGTTCTGTATGACCTGTATTCTTAAATGGGCAGAAGAGGGGCTATCTCTAAGGCAGCCTATGTGATTGAGGATAGAGCAGCAGCAGGAAGCAAGAAATATTAGAAATCAGGAATCCTGAATTCCCAAATAAGGAAGGTTTCCTGTTCTTACATTTAAATATGGGTTTGTATGAGCTGGAAATTTACAACACTTCAGAATACTAGGCAGTGGAACTCTCTTCAAATGAAACTTTAGCCAAATCCAAGGCAGTTATGCTTAAGGAAAAAAAGAAGTCAAAATCTTACTCAGAACTGTCATTTGAAACAAATCAAAATGGAATGGCTCAGGTTAAAATGGTCAAATTGACAGTCATAAAGGAAAAAATGCCATTTAGCTGATGTCAACAGAGGAAATTTAATAAAGAAAAAGAGATTATATAACTTCAGTGTCTTTGAAAGATTTGATGAATCTGACAGAGTAAACTTCTTTAACATGTGACTTCTTTGGATCTTAGTGTTAAAATTTGAAATATCTAAGCTAGAATAATAAAATACTTTAATTTCCATATATGTCATGAAGTTACAAATTCCAATAAAAATCATTGAAAATTAAGAAAGAAAAAGAGTGAGGAGGTGATCATGAGGTCAGAAACTGATCTGAGCTAATGGCTGTGCAGAGCTCCTAACAGCACAACGCACAGTCGCCTCCCCAGATGAGGGAGCGCAACCCCCGTCCCACTGGAGTCTGAGAATCCCACGTTGGCTACGTGGAGCACATCCCACGCGGCCCCAGCTTCATGCAAACTGTTTTACAGGCATTATTCCATTTACTCTTCAAATAGTCCTATAGTTTTTAGATGGAAAAAAAAAAATGAAGCTCAAAAAGGTTAACGGGCAATTGCCCTAAGGGCAGACCGCTAGTTCCTACTAGCCCTGGATGAAAATGCAGGGCTGGGAGAGGAAACCAGGCCAGGGCCATTCAACATCTTTCAAATGGATGACCCTGTTGGGTTTTCCCAATGCCCTGAAGCCATCTCTTACAGGACAAGGCACTTGGGCTCAAGAAGCAAAACTGACTTGCTAAGCTTGTGCAGCGGCAGGGGCCAGGACTCACTAGTTACTATGCATCTGAACACCTCTGGAGGCAAGGAAAGGCTTACAAGTGGAAGGAAGGCTGGGTGCGTGGCTCACACCTGTAATCCTAGCACTCTGGGAGGCCGAGGCGGGTGGATCGCTCAAGGTCAGGAGTTCTAGACCAGCCTAAGCAAGAGCAAGACCCCGTCTCTACTAAAAATAGAAAGAAATTAATTGGCCAAGTAAACATATATAGAAAAAGTTAGCCAGGCATGGTGGCGCATGCTGGTAGTCCCAGCTACTCCGGAGGCTGAGGCAGGAGGATTGCTTGAGCCCAAGAGTTTGAGGTTGCTGTGAGCTAGGCTGATGCCATGGCACTCTAGCCCAGGCAACAGAGAGAGACTCTGTCTCAAAAAAAAAAAAAAAGTGAATGGAAGAAGGTCCCAAATCCAACATTCTCCCCAGCTCCGGCAGCTAAGACCCCTGGCCGCACTTACTTAATGATTAGGTTTTCAAACTCCGTGGCACACCGCCACTGTCGGATGCAGGACAGGCAGTACGTGTGATTGCAGTTGGAGAGGATCCCAAATCTCCTCTCGGAGGCAGTGGCCTTCTCAAGGATCACTTCCATGCAGATGCTGCAAACTTTGTCCTGACTTGCCTGGAAGGCAAAGGCCTTTTCCATCTCGTGCTCGAATGTGGACATGCAGATCTGGAGTACAGAGACAGGGAGGCTCAGGTTCCGGCCACTGAGAACCCTGGGAGTGCCTGCAGCCACAGCCGAGACCAGGAAGGAGCACTGACAGCGGCTGCTGTGAGCAGGGCCCAGCATCCCCTGGGTCAGGACATCAAGATCGCTCTCAGACCATAAAAGGAATTCAAACTGTCTTTGGAGACTGGTGCATCCCCTTGCTTTCCTAACACGACATGGTCACCTCCGACTTAGAGCCAAGACCATGGAGACCCAAGAAAGTTAAGAGGACTGCTGTGGGGCTGCAGAGTCCACAAGCACCAGGAGCCTGGTCTCCAGCTCTTCTGGGCACTGCCCTCCCCCACTCGGAGCCATGCCAGTGTCGGAAACGCTGACTCTTCCTCAGTGACGCTTGAGGCTGGCAGCATGGAGTCACAGGTAAGCAGTAGCACCTTCTCCCCAGGAAAAGGATTTAGTGAATTTGTTCATTTGTAGGCTCACCCTGAATTCCTGCTAAGTGCTGGCATTTGAGCAAGTGTGCCCATATGTGAGACAAGCCCTGGCTCACAGCACAGAGACCTCCCACATGTGCTCGAAGCAGAAAGCTCTCAGCTTCTGCTCCCCAGGAAGACAGTGGAGAGTGGCTCCTCCCCAGCCCTGCCTAGGAATACACCAGGCAGCTCTCTCCAGAGAGGGAGCCCTTTTCTACTGTGGGTGCCTACAGCATTTGGTCCCTTCTCAGTATTACATTTCAGATTTTCTTTTTTTGGTTTCAGTATCCTGTTAAGTACATTTCAGATTTCTTAAAATGAGTTCATGCAAAGGTTCACAACTTTACCTTCTCATGAGCTTTCCTCTGCTCTGGATCAAAGGGGTGCAGCACTCGCAGCCTACAGATGTCACACACTTCCCCGTGCAGGTAGATACAGGCATCCCCAAACCGGCATTCCCCGACGGCCGCGTAGGGGCACAGCTGCTGCCCGCTGCTGCAGGAGCTGCTGGCTTCCAAGTCATCGAGGCCACTCCTGATGGCTTCCAGGTAAGAATGCGGCTTCATCTCTGGGCTGGTCTGGGAGTCACTGCAGCCACCTGGATTACTCACCATGCCGGGGGAAGTCTTTTCTTCAGCCATGCCAGAAAGATCTGAATACAAAACACACAGCACACACACGAAAACTGGCCCAATCTTTCTGGTAAGCTGTTAGCCAAAACCTAACAAATTAAGCGACTCTGACCTAAGGAATTCCACTGTTGGGAACAAATGACAGGCCAAAAGGGAAACACAAAAGGATAGTATAAAATGTTCACAGTGACATTACTTATAACAATACTAAAAAAGCAAAAAAACATAAACGTCAAGACAGGGAAACAGCAAAACAGAATGTAATATATTGGTACAGAAGAACACTAAAGTTGCTGTTTAAAAATGGTAAATATGAAAATGTTATTACAGTTAACACTAAAAACAACCAAAAAGCCCAAAAACATTAAGTCCAGGAGAATTTAGAATGAGGGCAATAGAATACAGTGTAAACCAGTGAAGTCACCAATCATTTTAAAGTGAACCAGAATAGCCGGGCATGGTGGTTCATGCCCGTGATCCTAGCACGCTGGGAGGCTGAGGTGGGAGGATCACTCAAGGTCAGGAGTTCAAGACCAGCCTAAACAGGAGGGAGATCCTGTCTCTACTAAAAACAGAAAGAAGTTATCTGGACAACTAAAAAAAATATATATATATATATATATATATGTGTGTGTGTGTGTGTGTGTGTATACATACAAACATATATACATACATATATAGAGAGAGAGACAGACAGACAGACAGACAGAGTCTTGCTTTATTGCCCAGGCTAGAGTGAGTGCCGTGGCGTCAGCCTAGCTCACAGCAACCTCAAACTCCTGGTCTCAAGCAATCCTGTTGCCTCAGCCTCACGAGTAGTTGGGACTACAGGCATCTACAGGCATGCACCACCATGCCTGGCTAATTTTTCGTGTATATATTAGTTGGCAAATTAACTTCTTTTTTTTATTTATAGTAGAGACACGGTCTCGCTCTTGCTCAGGTTGGTTTCGAACTCCTGACCTTGAGCAATCAGCCCGCCTTGGCCTCCCAGAGTGCTAGGATTACAGGCATGAGCCATCGCGCCCGGCCTAAAAATATATTTAAAAAAAAAAAAAATTGGCTGGGCATGGTGGCACATGCCTGTAGTCCCAGTTACTTGGGAGGCTGAGGCAGGATAGGTTGAGCCCAGGAATTTGAGGTTGCTGTGAGCTAAGCGGCTGATGCCACGGCACTCTAGCCTGGGCAACAGAGCCGGACTCTGTCTCAAAAAAAAAAAAGTGAACCAGAATAAAAGTCTAGAGCAAATCCCAGGCCCCCACGCCAGTGCTGAAACACCAGTGACGACAAAGGCCTTCCCACTGCAGACTCCGAGCTTTCGTGGGGTGACATGTCCCGGGTTGCATGTCTGCTGAGAATGGAATCTGCCTCGCTTATGGTGCACAGTTCCAAGAACTAGAAATCTCTTCACCTGCTGAGGACCAGTCAATGAAACAACTTTTATAATTTGTAGCTTTCATCTTCCCAAACGCTGTCCCAGGGCACAGACCATAACATGCTAATCTATTTCCAAAGATGCAATCTAAACACCAAACACTGGTTGGTGTAAGAACTAAGACTATTCATGACCTAAAAGTCAAACAGTGAAATATGCCTTTTATCAAAGTACTCGGTGTTGAAATGAGGAGCCTGATGCTTCTCGCTTACTGGATAATCACATGAAGATGGCAGTTACACACTGACAAAAAGATCACTTTCTATGTTCTACCCAGCCACTGGAGCTCAACCCAGCTTTGAGCACGAGGCCAAATGCATCACCTGAATGCTCTGAAAGGCAAGTGGAGCCCTCATTCAGAACGGTTCTGGAGTCTCTCCATTTGGATGATTAACTGGGAGGGGTATTAGCTTACGAGCATCTTGACAAGAGAAAGCCAGAAAGGAGCACCACAGGTAAGCAAGACTACGTTTCAAAAAGATGCAAGGAAAGGCTTCTGCTCACTCACTTCGGTCTCGAAGTACCAATGTTCTCTTCTCGCGTTTCCCAGGTTCCTGTGAATTAGTTTTCACAACAGATGCGGTGAGGTCGGAAGGAGGGCGAGGACCGTGGAAACCCGAGGAGGGCACACTGTGGGGCACGGTACCTGGAGCACCAGCAGCGGCAGCAGAGGGCCTCGTGTGATCGTATCTAAACACAACACAGGGCAGATGCATCATAGTCACACTCCCCGCATGTGCCGCCCACTCCCCGCATGTCAGCGGCCCTCCTCCTGCTCCACCCACTGAGGTGAGAAGGAAACCATCTTTCCTGATATTTAAACTCTAACAGGCTTATTGATCAGTAACAGCTGCCTGGCCATTCAGTGTGAGTGGGACATTCGCTATCTATCACCGACGGGGTGTGGCTTCAGTGGGACAGACACCCTGCTCCAGACCATCCAAAGAAAGCCCAAAAGTTCTAAACAGATGTTGAGCTGAAATCTCCTGTTGCCTGAACAACCCAGTGTTCTTTGGGCTGGAGTCCCCAAAATGTTACCAAGGGCCAGTGTAACAGCCAGGAGTCCACCCTCTCCTAACTTGTACCAAAAAAAGCACTGGAAACCACTTAAATGTCTAACAGAGGAATAGCTAATAAAATGATGGTACATTAAGATTACAAAATTATAGTCAGGAGATAAAACAGCAGCAAAGGAAAAACACTTATGACATGTTAAGGGCAGGGAAGCAAGATATAAAATCTTATGTTGATTGTGAGTACAATTTCATAACTATATATTTATAACAAAAGGCTAGAAAAGTAGTTTAAAAAGTTAAAAGTAGTTTTAGGGTATTGAAACTGAGGTTTTAAGCTTATTTGCCATACTTTTTGTAATGTCATATTACTTTTAAAGGGAAATTTCCCCCTCATCAACACCCAAGCTCCACATGAAGTCAGTGTAACAGCTGGGGCCTGCGTGGAGTCCTTGCCTGCATCGAGTTCCATAGGCACAGTAGCCCTTCTGATAGTACTTGCAGATGGTAGACGGCTTGCTGTTTGCCAAGTCATGTGAGAACAGGCACTGGCTTCCTTCCCGACACACACCATGCATAAAATACCTGCAGAGACGAGCACAGGCATGCAACTTTTAGAAGCCCACTTTGTTATAAAAATATGCATATTCTTGAACATAACTACAGATATGCACCACCACAACCCAGCTAACTTTTAAATTTTTTACAGAGATGGGGTCTTGCTATGTTGCCCAGGCTGGTCTCGAACTCTTGGCCTCAAGCAATCCTGCCTCAACCTTCCAAAGTGCCTGGGATTACAGGCATGAGCCACAGCATCTGGCCTCTACAAAAACATTTTTAAAAATCAGCCAGACATGGTGGCACACACCTGTGGTCCCAGGTACTCAGGAGGCTGAGGTGGGAGGATCACTCGAGCACAGGAGTTCAAGGTTACAGTGAGCTATGATCACATCACTGCACTTCAGCATTGGTGACAAAGACCCTGTCTCTCTTTTTATTTTTTTTTGAGACAGAGTCTCACTCCATTGCCCAGGCTAGAGTGCCGTGGCGTCAGCCTAGCTCACAGCAACCTCAAACTCCTGGGCCCAAGTGATCCTTCTGCCTCAGTCTCCCAAGTAGCTGGGACTACAGGCATGCGCCACCACACCCAGCTAATTTCTTTCTATTTTTGGTAGAGATGGGGTCTTGCTCTTACTCAGGCTGGTCTCAAACTCCTGAGCTCAAATGATCTGCCCGCCCTAGCCTCCCAGAGTACTAAGATTACAGGCATGAGCCACCATACCCTGAGACCTTGTCTCTTAAAAAGAAATTAAAAAAAAAAAAAAAAGATACATCCTCTTGATTCGAGATACATTAAAGATGTAAAATGTGAGCCTCATAATTGAGAAAAAACTCCATGAAAAACTGCTCTCTCCAGCCCAGCGCGGTGGCTCACGCCTATAATCCTAGCACTCTGAGAGGCTGAGGCTGGTGGATCGCTCAAGGTCAGCAGTTCGAAACCACCCTGAGCAAGAGCAAGACCTCATCTCTACTAAAAATAGAAAGAAACTAATTGGCCAACTAAAACTATATATAGAAAAAAATAGCCGGGCATGGTGGTACATGTCTGTAGTCCCAGCTACTTGAGAGGCTGAGGCAGAAGGATCACTTGAGCCCAGGAGTTTGAGGTTGCTGTGAGCCAGGCTGACACCACGGCACTCTAGCCCGGGCAACAGAGTGAGACTCTGTCTCAAAAACAAAAAAAACAAAACTGCTTTCTCTGTTCTCATGGAGCACAATGGGCATGAGTACAAAGGCTCCATGAGGAGCCAGAAACTGGGCTCAAGATTCACCTCTGCCACTTACAAAAACATCACAAACCAACTTCCCTGGGCCTCACTCACTACTTTTATCTACGAAATAGAGACTACACCACCTACTTCACTGGGTTGTGGTAAGGATCAAATAGCATAGTGTGGCATCAAAAGATATATACAGATGTTCCTCTTTTAATGGAGTATGTCCTGATAAACCCATTATAAGTTTAAAATATCATCAGTCAAAATGCATTTTACACACTTAACTTACTGAACATTATAGCTTAGCCTAGCCTTCCTCATACATGCTCAGAACACTTATGTTAGCCCACAATTGGGGAAAACCATCTAACACAAAGCCTATTTTATAATAAAGTGTTGCATAATCTCATGTAATTTACTGAATACAGTACTGAAAGTGAAAAACAGAATGGTTGTATGCGCACCCAAAACACTGTTTCTACTGAATGCATATCACTTTCACATCATCACAAAGTCAAAATATCATAATTTGAACCATCCTAAGTCAATCACCATTAAGTCAGAGACCTTCTGTATAAGAATGTTCCATGGAGATATGGAGTCTGGGCCTCAAAGGAATAACCAGTATAGGAATAACTGGGAGGTATACTACTTTTGTGCTGCCAGAGCAGAGACACCTGGATGAGTACTCAGAGCAAACAGTAGAGAAACCCCAGAGGACGTGCCTCGGTATTAAGGATAAACTAATCCTAGAGTAAAAGAGTATTTTATACTTACCCTAATAAAATTTAAAAATAAACTTTAAAAGGATCAACCTGATAGTAAACAGTAACTTACTGTCAGCCAAAACAAACTTTAATATTCTTTAAAGGAAGACAATAAAATCCAAATGCTCAGAAACATTCATAATGTTTAGCATCCAGTAAAAATTTACTAGATGTGCCAAAAATCAGGAAAATGTGACCCACAACCAGGAGAAAAACTGATCAACAGGAATAACAGAGATGATGGAATCAGCAGACAAAGACCTTAAGAAACAGCTATTATAAAAATGCTCAACATGCTGAAGGATTTAAAAGAAAACATGAATATAATGTGGAGATAAATAGAAGATACAAAAAAAGAACCAAATGGAACTTCTAGAAATGAAAAATGCAACATCTGAAATGAAAATTATATTAGATGAGCTTAGTAGATTGGATATTACAAAAGATCACAATACTTGAAGACAGAATAGAAACTATCCAAATTGAAGCACAAAGAGGGGGGCAGATTTTTGTTTCTGTCCATGAAGGAGCACAGATCTTGTCCTCCCACTGTAGAAAACTATAAAATGGAACAAAATATGTAAAACAACTGCTTTCAGACAATGGACAAAAAGCAACAAGAGCTTAGTCCTTGAGAGAAGGACCGAAAACACAAGAAGTAAGCCCCGTGTTCAGCCTGACTTTCTACTTGGAGGTATATTCTGTGCCTTGGTGCAGGGGGGAACCTCAGGCAAAGCACAACAGTCTTGCTGAGATAAGGAGACAGAAACTGGAGTTCAGGGAGGCTGCAGGGGCTCTTTACAGAGTCCCTAAATAGAACCACACACATAATGATCAATTGAAAGAATAGTCTTTTCAACAAATGATGCTGGACTCAATATCTATTTAGAAAAAACTTAACTCAAATATTATTTGCCTGCTGATATGACTCCGTACCATATGATCCTACAATTCTAGCCATATTTACCCAAGAAAATGAAAATCTATGTCTATACAAATACTTGTACATCAATGTTTAAAGCAGCATTATTCATAATAGTTAAAAAGTGGAAACAACTCAAATATCTACCAAATGAATAAACAAAATGTAATATATCCATATAATAAAAGGAATGAAGTACTGACACATGCTACAATATGAATGAGCCTTGAAAACAAGCTAAAGTGAAAGGAACTATTCACAAAGGACCACGTTATATGCAATGTCCAGAAAAGGCAAATCACTGTGTTGATAGAAAGTAGATTAAGTGGTTGCCTAGGTTTGGTAGAGGGGGAATGGGGAGTAACTGCTAATGGGCACAAGGGATCTTTTTAGGATGATGTAACTATCCTAAAATTTAATTGGTGATGGTTGTACAACTTTATAAATTTACTAAAAAATCTTTGAATCATACACTTCAAACAGGTGAATTTTATGGTATGTAAATTAGACCTCAAAAAAAGCTGTTAAAAAAGAAAGAAAAAAAGGAGGGAGCCATGCTAGGTTAGTAGACAGGAGCAGGGGGGAATAATAATCAGATGTAATATTTAGTCCTGGACCATAATCTGGTTTGGACAAATCAGATATAAAAGACATTTTTTTGGACAACTGGAGAAATCTGAGTATGTACTAGGTATTACATAAAACAGAAATTTATTGACATGGAAAGTTCAAAATTTTTAACTGAAAAGAACGGACCATAAAACAGCATAAACAGTGTAAAATGGTGCAGCTGCTATAGAAAAAATAGTATGGCAATTTCTCAAAAAATTAAAAATAGATTTACCACATGATCCAGCAATTCCACTTTTGGGAATATACATGGAGGAACTAAAAGCAGGGACTCAAATAAATATTTGTACATTCATGTTCACAGCAGCATTACAATAGGCAAAACGTGGAAGCAACCCAAATGTCCACTGATGGATGAATGGGATGAATGGACACACAAGATGTGGTCTAGCACAGTGGTCTAGGCACAGTGGCTTGCACCTTTAATCCCAGCTACTAAGGAGGCTGTGGCAGAGGATCATTTGAGGTCAGGGATTTGAGACCAGTGTGGGCAACACAGCGAGACCTCATCTCAAAAAAAAAAAAAAAAAAAAAAAAAAAAAGATGTGGTCTACACATATACAACAATGTGAATGTACTTAACACTACAGAACTATAAACATAAAAATGGTTAAGATGTTAAATTTTATGTTATGTATATTTTCCCACAATAAAAATATTTTTAAAAAAACCAGCATAAACAGTATGATCTCAATTTGGTAAAAAATTATAAATGTATACATACATGCATTTTCAAAATCTGGAAAGATATATAGAAGTATGTGAAGAGTGGTGATCTTTGAGAGGAAAGGATGTGATATTCTTTTTTTTTTTTTGAATGCAAAAACCACGTATTTATTAAACACATGATTAACTTAAAAACACTAAACCAGTTTGTTTAAAGTGCTCCTCGACCAAAACCGTGGACAAAACCATAACCCCAAAGTGAATTCAAAAAAACAGATTACAAGGCAAACACTGACAATAGGTATGGACAGGTACTGCCAAAAAATGCTATTTGTTCTTTAATTAAATAATGCCATTCTCAAGTGATGTAGAGCAGTCACCTTGACAGAATTTCTTCTTTTTTGTATAAATATTCATAAATAAAAATGTCTCTAGATAGTCTAAAGAGCTGCAAACAATATTTTACAATAGCAGCTTAATGTCTATTTTAAGAAAAAAGCACTAAAATCCTCTTCCATTGAAAGTTGTTTATTTCTCTGGTGTAAGTGAGCAAGGTCACCACATCAACCTCTTTTTTAGAACAATGTAAATAACAATGTATACACTTCTTAAATTTGGTAAGTTAGGATGCAATCATCTTTTGATAAAACAAGAAAATAAATAAATAAAAATTAAATGCTTTAACCCAACATTTGGTACCAACAAATCAGTAGTGTCGACTTCACTACGAAGGACAGTACAACATGGTTGTTTAAAAATGCTCAGTACGTCATAGTATTTGGGCTAAAAATATTTTATATTAAGTATTTCCTTTTTGATTAA